GTGTGTGGCACAGTGTGAAACGAGGCTCCGGTGGTTACGTACGTCGTGTTGGGAGCTGTGTGGCAGCAGACCCATGAGGGGTCTGTCCAAGGATCCAGGGAGGAGGAACTCAGGCGGAGCTCCATTCTGGCTGCTGGTTTCTGTCTTTGTGTTGCTTAGAGAGCGTTTCAGGCTCTTTCCATTTGGTGAGTCTTCAGCAGTAATGAAAGGAGATTATCAAAGTTCATCATCATGTAAACTTTATTTACACTTGAGAGAGTAAGTCAATTACAAAAGAAAATGAAAACAACAACAAAGAGATATACAGAGAGAAAAAGAGCATTCTCAAAATAGTCAAATCCATTAAAACGTAGGGATTATGGAAGATGATTTATAGCTAAATTAGGATAATTAAGATGTAAAATAAAATACAGTTATGTAAAAAGCCCCCAAAATGTTGCATTTAGGGTTGATATTTAAATGTTCAAAAGGTATAAGAGAAAATATTTTAAGGAGGGGCTGTATTTTGTTGTAAGGTGTACTAATATAAAGAAAAGTTTTTCAAAGTAGAGCTTTTAGTTAATTTTGTATCTCTTTTTGGTTGTTTAAGTGCATTGTGTATGTGTACCTGGTGTTGGTGTGTGTGTGAGTGTCTCCAGTATGCTGGGGGAGCGTCCCTCTCTGAGTGCATCCTGAGGTCCAGGCGCTCTCAGCAGCTCCACCACTCGGGCCAGATGGTGCCTGGCTGAGCGGGCGGTGTAGGGCTCTGAAAAAGTCACAAGGTGGTGTTATAAATGTGACCCTCTCCCTAATGAAACTGTGGACCCTCTTTGTTTTTCTACAGCAAGAATGCACAGGAGAGATTTGATTCAAGATCATTCAGAAGAGAATTACCATTGGATGTCATGATCCCCTTACATGAGTTCAAGACTATTTAGATTGAAGTAATATTAAGAACCATGTAGTCAAAGGTGTGTATTCTCAATACTGAGTGTGAGTCAATATACTGTATCTAATAAAAGATGGCAAGGTAGTTGGTTTTTATTGTTTCAACAGCTATCTGGCGAGAAGCAGAATAATTTGTTGGCACAAATTTGAAATCTCTGCAACGGTAAACCTTGTTAAGATGACTCAGTCAGCTATTTACAAAGAGATGAGAGTTTTTATTGGGTGTGACAGGGGAAGGACAATGGGTGTGATGAATATATGGACTAGAGTAATCTTGTTGTATATTCTGATTCTATAATTAATCATTACACCATTATCCTACATTCAGCTTATGCAGACTAGGACACACGGGGACGTGCAGGAGAGCATAAACCGTATTGGTAAAAGTACAAAGAAAAACTAAATACATTAATTGTTAGTGTTCAAACGCTAAAACTGCTTAAAATAAGGGCACTCATTGATGAATATCGTGATAAGATTGTAAATTATAATAAATAAGTTATAAAGTGTACTGAGATCTGCCTTTCTGCTGCTTTTATTATAGTGCAAAAATACAACAAAATGCTTGTTGAACTGAATAAAACATTCATTTTTTAATATTGAACTGGACACAAAAAGCAGCATTAATTAGGATTATAGTTACATATCATCGAGCCAGTAAGATGATATATTGGGCAGCCCTGTTTAAAAATGTATTAGTAAGTCATTTAATACAGCTTGAGTATGCAATTATGCTGCAAAAAATCCCCCAAAAAACATGAAATACTGACATTACAGTTATTAAGGAAAATAATACAAAAATATAGATTGGACATAAAGCAGAATGAAAAGAGAATTCTCTCAGAAAAACCGAGTATAATACCTTCCACCAGGCGAATGATGGCTCCTGGTTTAAGCCCCTTTAGGCTTTGCAGTTCTGCAAGCGGGTCCAGAGTCGTACCAGCGAGCGCTAAAGACAAGTTGGAACGGGGACACACCTCGTCCTTCAAAAGCAGAGTCATTACTGCATCCTGAACAAGCCAAAAGCCATGGACCTACAAAGACACATAATTACACTCAGAAAGAAGAACATACCGAATATAAAACTGTTGTGTATAAGTATAGTCTCTGCAAAATTGTGTCAAATTATTATAACAAAGCAGTGAATAGGAGGAAATTGCAGTCTAGTTGTGTACCTGCAAGTCAAATGGCTCTACTCCTGCTCCTTGGATCTTCACAGGGAATGATGTGTCCTCAAGTTGCTTAATACCAACAGCATCTTTTCCACCAGTCGGGCTCACTGCATCTGTTTAAAGGAGAAACGCAACCAAGTTAGGAATTGCACTCAACGAGAAAATAGTTGAGGTTGTTTTCTTGCCTTCAACTCATTACATGCTTGGATTGCTTCCAGCTCACTATTCATCCTGAAAACCGGCCCTGCTGTAGAAAATGCATGAGTATCGGAATGAATGAAAGAATGAATGAATTATGTTCAGATCATCTGTTCATTGCCGCAGAGACAAGTGTGCTGATCTCCTCTTAAATTATCATGAGCTTAACTACAGAGTCTGTGTGTGTGAGAGTGCCGGAGGATTAGGGCAAATGTATGCAAGAAACTTCCCTAGAGAGAAAGTGGGGTGTGCCCGTTTCATAACACTCACGCAGAACCAGAGGGGGAGCAGGTTGTAGCGTGTTCCTTAACTTGCAGTGTGACTAAACCAGTTGAATTTCCCGATGAGTCTTTATGTCATCTCAGCGTGAAGGGACACACCCAGCGCTGGCATGTGGAGACAGCAGGATGCCAAAACACCTAAACACATATACAAACCTAGAGCCTGCTAGTATAGCGTGCTTAGAGTCATGGATGCATGAACATAAGCCTGATGCTAGATTTCATGTCAGTCTGGGACTAGTTTAAAACTGGGAAAACACCCAAAAAAGAGTTTCTCTGTTCACGATTGGTTGGAATAAGTTCCCTCCTCTCTGCGGGCAAGGAGCCATCAGCCTCTTTTCTACTGAAGCCTTACTACTACAGAAAGTAGCATTGTTTTCAGGCCTGTAGAGTTTATTTTGTCAATGATTTCTGTGGTTAGTTTGTACCATAAAAGTGGTAGAATTGAACATCATCGTGTCTTTTTTATGTAGGGTAAGAGGTCTGATCTCACCTGAAGAATGGATATCACACTCTTCCTAAAAATCAATCATTCTGTCTCGTGAAGGGTTACAAAGGTTCAAACAAGGTGAAAGACTCACTTGAAATTATAGCAAAGCATAGGTAGTTTAGGTTGTTGACGTTTTTAGTTTTGGAGAAATATCATACAAAGATTTCAATAAAAGCTTTTATTTGTCTTCTCTCTCCATTAACAATCTTAGCCTAAAATGTACAGTTTGTCTAAGGTTTTCAGGTTGGTTCAGAATTTGTCTCTGTGCATACATTCGTCGTAAAAAGTTAGAACAGCAGACCAGATTGGACCAGATCTTCCAGTGGTTAAAAAGTTGGTGAAAGCAGACAACAGCACCAGCCATGTTCAGGGCAGCAGTGCAGTGCTAAATCTCCCACCCTCCTCACATTCTCCAGCGAGAGAGGCAGCAGGCGGAAAAAAGAAGGAAGAGGAAAATGCAACAACAAGAGACACAAAGAGAGAAAGAGAAGCAGAAAAGAGAAAACATTGCAGGGATTTCTCACCAGTTTTGGCATGATTTCTTCCTCCTCTCCTCACTTTGTCCTTCATGGCTGCGTGTTTTAGTTTTTCTTGAGCTGTCCTCTTGTGTTTTGACTTCTTTGTGCTAGCAGACGCTTCTCCTTTAAAAAAAAGTTTTGCTTCAAACTGCTGGAGGAAGGCACACAGAGTGAGAGTGAGAAGAGAAGTGCAGCTGGATTGTTGAGAGAGCCCAGCAGAGTGAAAGTAAACGTCTGTCTGGTGAGGATTTTGACTCCTGCCCCTCTCTCTACAAGTAAAACGCAGCTTATCTGTTCTCTGAGTGAAAAAGCCACACCCTCTTATTGCTCTGTGTGTCTCTCAAACTTTGTTGGACTGGGTGTGTCCACACACACACGCCACTCTTGACTTGAAGTACTTCATCATACTACAAATGTTATTGAGTGAATCACATGATTTGATGATAACAGAGGGACCTGTCTAACTAACCACTAGCATTCCTCTAATCTAAGATCAAAGCGGTTCATGCGGGTGAATACTGTTTGTTACACTCATGATAGTGAAGGCTGTCAGGAGACAGTTAACCTGCCAAAATTGGGTGTGCCTGTCTCATTATTTAGTGGCTCTGTAGTTGTTGAGAGGCCTACACCTTCTACATTCACATTTCACACATACCTGGGCATATCTCAGTGCAAACCAAACATAGAGATTACTGGGTATGGCGGAGCAAGTCACTTCTTTGGTATTGCTAAAATGCCATGCTGTATTGATTTACATTCCTCCTAACATCTACATCTACAGCATGTTAAGCCCTGGTATTAGTTACCAATCAGATAAGACAGGAAAGTCTAGCATGCATCAGTTCGAAACACACACCTACTTATTCCTGCAAGTGCTCGACATAACATGGATATTACAGTTGAAAAAACGATTGTATACAATTCTCATTTAGACAACCACAGGCATAAGCCTATATTTTGGTTCATAACAATGTAACGCAGCTACCACACAACAATCATTCAATTCACAATGACTGCATTGATGTAGAAATGTTACAAGTTAAGTTTACCTTCAACTACATTGTTGAAATCTGAACTTTGTACGCCTCTCGTGTTCACTGCAGAAAAACAGTAATGAAACTCATAGCAAACGTCAGCTTAATAGTTAGGGGGCGGCGGCCTGGTGATGTTGTGTGGTTTCATGTTGCCTTTACGTGTTCCTCGTAAATGTACCCTTTACCCAGGATGGTTGGGTTCTTGTGTGATACATGTTTAAAGGTGGTTTTCGGGGACTTCTTGATTAAGGATTATTGAATAATAAATGTATTAATATATTAAGAATATTATTTATACAAACCGATGTTTATACCCTTTATTTCTTCCGTTAGCTTGGTCGTTAGTTAACGTCCGTCTAGTAGTACTCATAATTCCGAGCGCACAGAAACACGGCATCGTTTGACAGGAGGCTGTTCTTTACTATCCGAGCTAGCATGGACGAGCTAACCAGCATTTCACACCCTCTGCATTAACTGCGAAGTTATCGGTGAGTTTATGTTAACGACTGATTGTGATTATTGCTATATGATCCAAAAAACACCAAAACCTGAGACGGAAAGCATAACTAGAGTCCCTTCTAGCCATCGTCATTTAGCTAACGTTAATTAGCTAGCAACATCCCTTGGTGGTGTGTTGTTGCATCCCTTTAAATACAAAAGAAACCGCTGTAAGATGTAAACATTAGGTCGTTCTGTTTAAGATTATGTTAGAAAGTTAGGCTAACTTTTAGGCTAAAAGTAACTAAGTAGAAATATTCAAATACTGTACTCAAGTACAATTCTGAGAGACTTGTACTTCACTTGAGTATTTCCATTTGTTGTTACTTCGACTTTTACTCCACACATGATTAATGATGTGAAATATAAACAGCACTTAAATAAGACTTTAGTTACACGTGGAGTAAATTCACAAGCTCCCCTGCAGTATACAGTAATAAAGTTACCTCTACCTTTACCAGATTTTATCACACTCTAATGCATAAATAATTATAATTTGAAACATATGATATTATTCTGAAATGGGCCAATCTGCATAATAAGTACTTTTTACTTTTGTTACTTTAAGTATATTTTGATGGTACTTCTGTTGTACCTTTACTTGAGTAACATTTTGAATGCAGGACTTTACTTTTAACACAGTGTTCCTACACTCTGGTACTTCTACTTTTACTTAAGTACAATATCTGAGTGCTTCTTCCACCTCTGGTGCTGACTAACTGTACATACATAAACCTAACTTATAAAACATCCCTTGTGTGATTTAACGATACATATAACTGTAACCTGTTTATATTCTTCATTGACTTAAAGGTTTCTCAGCAAATGAGCTGTCAGTTTATTCTGAGACCTGCTGAGATTAGATGCATGTTAAGGTTAAACCGCTCCGTTTGCTGCAGGTATCACTAGTCAATCCCTTGAAAGCTTGTCAGGCTACATAATATTTTATGTAATAGTAACAACAGCTCCTTTCTGTTATTGCAGGTCCTGTGCTTTTGCGGCCCCCCTTCCCCTCTCAGGTCAGAGCTGAGGGTTGGGGTCAGCTCCTTGGCTAATGTCGCACGTTCCCGGTGAAGAGGGGGGGCTATCTGAGGCTGCCCCAGAAGTCAACAACCAAGACCTGCTAGATAATCCTGCTCAGAAAACAGGGAACGCACCTGAGGATCAGGTGAGGGAGCGTGTGTGATTTTTGCCAATGGGTGTAACACAGTTGTTTCCTGTGGCTTTATAATTGGGTTAGGGTTCAATTATAATTAGGCATTGCAGATATGACTGGCTGGATTAAATTGAGGTAAAGGGAAACCCATTAATGTGTAAAACACTTTAACACAGGCATACAGACCTTGTGCATACTTTACATAGAGTGGTATGACCAATTTCATAACAAAAATACAAGTTGAAACAGAAACATTTGACTTTATTTTGAAAAAAAAGCCTCTATTGCGGTAATTGAGAATTAGTCATCGACATCTTTTATCTCAAGAATAATTTTGAAATCCATAATGCTAGAGAGAACGAAGACCCAGTCTAACTTTTCAGTTTTGTGAGCCTCAGAATTTATCAAGTCAATGTAAATGGTTTATCTAAGATTTTCTTTAGTCCTATCATTCCTCATTGATCAGCTGTAGTTACAGTATGGATAAAAGAACACCCTGTTCTCTCCAATAAGGTCCAAATCTCAGCCCTGGACTAGGCTGATCTGTGATCAGGGAAACCCTTTAGAGGTTTAAGCTACTGTGGAAATTTGTATAGAAGAAACAGTGTACCTTTTTAATAAACAACAACAATGACCTTGAAACCCTCTAAAGTTTCAAGGTCATGCTAGTATTAAAATTCTCTGTCGCAAAAGTAGTGATAGAAATATTATTTTAAAAAAGTGTGTAGATTTGTTAAGTAACGCAAGTAGTAACAAAATCCAGTTATCACATGACATATTGTAATGAGTCCTAAAAAAAGCATGTCCTTGTGTCCTCTCAGGCAAAAATAGCAGCTGCACTTTGCACCTACTGAACGATAGTAGGGCAAAGTAGAAATGAAGGTGCTATAGATGCAAGTCACATACGGACAGTATGTCTCTGTAGTTATGCACACGTTGTAAATGTTTGCACACAGAACCTAGTCCAGACGAGAAAATCAGCATGGTGTCTAGGCCTGGTGTCAACTTGTGTCTGTCTGTCAACACGATAATGTGGATATATATGTAAATAATACATTATTAGCATTGTATCATTTTCCTAAAAGTTAAATACCAAATGAACTTTGAATGTTGCATGTCATGCATGCAGAAAGTAATGTTTGCATGGAGATAAACCAGATTAATTTCTGAGGAAGGGTGTCATACTTCTCAATCTTTTTTTAAAATCTGTACACCTGTTGTGTGTGCACATCGGATAATTGATTTGGCAGATGATTTGGCAGATGATTTGGCAGCTGATTTGGCATTGTGTGAATGTGGGTGTATGTTGTTGTGTCAAGCAGTGGTAGGCTCTCTTTCAACACACTGAAACAGAAGCGGCAGTGAAGGACCAAATGGGTTACTTGCAGCATTGTTTGTGATTGTTAGATATTCAGTGGCAAAAGGTTGTTTACAAGCTGTAGCTGTATCAGTTGTGGAAAGAAGAAGAAGAAAGAATAAAACAGGGCTTTGTGCACCCGACCGAGGGGAGGCCTGATCCTTTTCCGTCCGACTCTCCTTTGCTTTGTCTCATGGTCTCAGGTTCCTCAGTAGGAACTTAATGGAAGGGCTCAGAATAAGCTTAGATTTCTTTATTTCCTTATCCTGGAAGCTGCAGAGTTGAGCAGTGGACAGGTGTAGATACAGGTGTATATAGCAGGCATTTGCTTTTTACTTGGGAACAGAGCAATATTGCTGACAGGAAGAAGAAATATTGATTAAGCATCATTTGTCCTCAGGTGCCGCCTGTGGTGGATGAGGCCTCTCCTTCTTCCACATCTTCATTTGAGCTGCTTGACATGGATTCGGCCCCAGCTCCTTATCAAGAAGTGCAGCCTCACTGGTTCTTCTACAACACAACATGGCTTCCTTTCAGCAGAGACGACTCCGACAAACTAGAGAACGCCCTCAACACTGGTGAGCAGCTTGTGTATATAATTTACATGTACAAAATATATCGTAAATTTGGTATGTGAAAAGTAAGAAAATAGGGAGTTTGCTGCTTAAAGATAAAATATCAACACATTACTGTTGTTAACACCGGCCTGGTACCCAGTAGGAAGTTTAAGGTGCTTCTGTTTCACGAAGTTTCGAGGTCAGCCTCTTTATGATTGATATTTAGATTTGACGTCTGTGATATTCATATTAAAAGTCTTAGAGATCCTTTTTTGTAAAAACAACACATTGTGGTATTAATCAGACAATAACCATTGTTGTCTTTGTGTGAGATCTTCCTTTCAATATATTGAGCTTCTACTGTCCAGTGATAATCATACACAGCCATTACCTAAAGGGAAAATATACAACAACAAAAAACAGTAGTGATTAATTTCCAAATAATTGGAAAACATGATTTCCCAAATATTCTATAGGGACTCACTTAAAGGGTAGGTAAGTTTGAGAAACCGGCTCGAGATACACTTTTTGTTATATTCCATGGAATGCTCTTAACATCCCGATAGCAATGAATATCTTAAGTGCTTTGACAAAAAATCCATAAAAAAATGTCATCTGTGGAAGCCGTAGTACTGTAAAAAGCACGACCAATCATTTTAGCCGGCCCGGCTAAAATGATTGGATGGCCTACCTGCCTGTCAGCCTTCCATCTGTGCACAAACTTATCTCGTGCCCTCATTGGTCATGTGCGCGTTCGTGTGTGTTGGAGGAGGGGCTCTGTAAGGAAGTGGCAGATTTTCTCCGGTTGTGTATTTTCAAATTCTAGCGATCTCGAGCCGGTTTCTCAAACTTACCTACCCCACCTTTAACATACTAAGTTATTGCCTTTGACAATATAAGTGTTCCTTTGCTCACAATCCTAAAGATGATATGTCCATATTATTCCAGGAGAGTTCACTCACTGTATTATCCTGGTGATGCTGCTGCAGAAGACATTTAAAAAACGTGATTAAGACACAGTATTTGGAGAGTGTCTTATAAACCCCTTGTTTTGGCTTGTGTATGTGTGTGTGCAGTTGGAGAAAAGGAGGGGGATGAGGTGGTGATAGCTGTGGAGGGAGAGCGGTATGACGTACATGTCAGGGAGAGGAAGCGCTACGCTGTGTACTGGGAGCAGGGTCCCACTGAAGTACGCCGCTGCTCCTGGTTCTACAAAGGAGACAAAGACACCAAGTTCATGCCTTACCCCGAGGACTTCTGCAAGCGCCTGGAGGTACTCTGCCAAACCCTCACCATCACACTGAAATAAAACTCTTTCACACACATCCAACAAAGAACATCGGGCTTTACAATAGTCAAACAAATCAAAACAAAAGAGACAAAACGTATATCGTATTTCTTTCTTTTACTTTGTGTTGGCTAATATAACTTAATGGTTAAAACTATGTCTTGCAAAGGTTGCCCATCTCTGTGTCTTTTAAGAGTCTGGCACTGCGGAAAATGTAGTCTTTTATACTTCCTTGACTACAGAGGTCACGATTAGGTGACAATATTTGGCACTTGTTACAAAACAGAAGACTTGCTCTAACACTGCTCACTCCTAGATCTTCTGATTTTATTCTCTTCCTACTTTGCCTGTTCCTATTTACTTTTTTAATTTCTGTTTGTCTTTGATTCCTTCCTCTCCCTTCCTCCAATCTTTCAGGAGGCCTATATGGTTGCAGTCACCTTGAATGAATGGAAGACGAAGCTCGAGTTTCCCTCTGGAGAAACTGTCATCTTACACAATCCCAAAGTAAGGTCACACCAGGGCTTTTATGTAATGTATTGTTTTCTCCTTGTAAGCCTCTTCTCCTTCATTTCCCTGCTCCAGCTGATAATGCAGTATCAGCCAGTAGGATTGCAGGATGAGTGGCAGTCGTCCCCCTCGGAGCAGACCCGGCCTCGCACAGTCAAAAGGGGAGTGGGCAACATCACTGTAGAAATACCTGAAGGTATATGTGTGTGTGTATCAGTAAAAAATTAACTACAAAATAATCATATTCAGAATTCCTTTATTAGTCCCGCTGCCTGGAAATGTACAGTGTTACAGCAAAAGTGGCATAGCAGGTAGAAAATGTGTAATACAATAAAAAATAAAGGCAGTTAACTGCACAACCATGGCTTAAAAAATGAGTAGCAGCAATACAAAAAAACCAAAGTGACATAAGTAACATACTATGGTGTTCAGACATTTATAAATAATGTATGTTCTTCACATAAAAGTGATTATTGCACAATACAATAGCAAATAAAAGTGTCTATATTGCACATTGCAGGTTTGCAAGAGTGCATCAGTCTGTATTGTGTGGGGGGTCTACCAGGGGCTCATTACATAAGGTATACCTACAGTTTACACTTATTTATGCGTGTGTTCCCAGGTGAACCAGAAAAGGTTGACCATCTGGTCTTTATGGTCCATGGCATCGGCCCGGCATGTGACCTGCGCTTCAGATCCATCATACAGTGCGGTAAGTGTGAGCTGGTCTGTGTGTGTATTGTTGTTTATATGCATATATTGATGTGTATGTAGGACTTTATTTTGTTTAATGTCTCTCCAGTAAATGACTTCAGGAGTGCTTCCCTGTCCCTCCTGGGCTCTCACTATAAGCGCGCCCAGCAGGACGGACAGGTAGGGAGGGTGGAGTTCCTCCCAGTGAACTGGCACAGCGCTTTACACGGAGATGCCACTGGTGTGGACGAGTAAGTATACAGACAAATACACATCTACATTTAGTTTGTATTCAAATCGTTTTTACAATGTTGTTTACTGATTTTATTAATGCATTATTATACACCAAAGCTAATTCCTTAGCATGTCCAAACCTGCTCGGCAATAAACCAAATTCTGATTCTGAGATTGACAAAACAAGATCACTCTGATGCATTAAAAATAATAATAATAGTATTTAAAATAACTATATTTTGCAGGAATTAACATAAAAACAGGGATAAAATGCCGAATGATAAGATAGAGATAATAGATGAGATAACATAGAATACATATAATGCATAAAATAAGATACAAAATAAAACTCGCTGAATAATAAATACATTTAAAAATGATCCAATTTGTAGCCATATTTGCAGTTTACACATTAAAAAAATGAAGCAACGCATTTTCTGCATCGGTGGGGTAGATTTACATTTTACTCTGAAAGTAGTCTGGCTTCAGTGCACTCTCTACCAATTGGCACCAGTCTCTGAGGCTATAAATAGAGCCACATTTTTCCTTCTGAAGAATACTTGCAGAAAATGTTCGAACTCTGTGTTCCCTCCCTTCCCCCACTTTCCAGGGACATCCAGAGAATCACGCTGCCGAGCATCAGCAGGCTAAGACATTTCACCAACGACACTCTGCTGGACCTGTTTTTCTATAACAGCCCCACCTACTGCCAGACCATCGTGGACACAGTGGCCTCAGAGATCAACAAGCTCCACACCCTCTTTAAACAGAGACACTCAGGCTTCAAAGGGGCCATTTCAGTGGTGGGCCATAGCCTGGGTAGGACATGTACAAAGTCAAACACAAACACACACACAGTCACAACAAGTCATTAAAATGCTGAAGTTCCACTCTTTCCTTTTATCTCCTCAGGTTCTCTAATCCTGTTTGACCTGCTAACCAATCAAAGGAATGGATCAAATGCCAGACAGGGGGTACGATAACATTCATGGCTAAGATATACCATCAGTAAACAGATAAAAAGGATTGCTAGTTTCCCTGCATGTGAATAATAAAATCCTCTCCACTTTCTCTCCCTTCCTTTGCTTCAGGTTGTCTCTGGTGAATCCTTTCATATGCACCACGACACGCTGCAGGACACTCTGACCAGACTGGGCCTGCAGCAGTACCTGGACACACTGCAGGCAGAGAACCTAGACCTGGAATCATTGGTAATGCACAACACACAAACACAATGGACATTGGTGTACACATGTAAGTGTAATCCAAAGTTAGAAATGTATGGATCTTCTCTTTTAGGCTCTTTGCCAAGACTGTGATCTCAAAGATTTAGGAATTCCTCTTGGACCTCGGAAGAAGCTCCTGAACTACGTCAGAAAGAAATGGCTTTCAGAGGTCAGCTTGAACGTATACAGGGTTTTCTTGTTTTGGAAAATATGACCATTACGACCTTGTTATGTTGGGGAAACTGTGAAAACAACATTGTTTTATTGGGCTAATTTCATTTATGGCCAGTTCCCCCTTTGCTTGAGGGCTCTCTTTCTAATTATTGGCAACTATATCAAGTTTCTCCAGTTCAGATTTCTTTAAAATTACTTTTTATGTCTGTCTTTATTAACACTTTTTTCCTCACTTCACTCGATTTCTGCTTCATCTAATATTATAATTGTTCTTTATGTACATCGTAATGTTTATGAAATCAATTAGGTTTGATCTTTAAACTGTACAGTAAACTATAATAGGGCTCTGTAGGAGCAGAAACATGGGGCGGGGTATAGTGCATCTGTGATTTATTGCATTTAATATGATTAAAACACCCTGTGCAAAAAAGTATTAACTTTTGATGTATTATTTCAATAGGATAGTAAGAACCGTGCTGGACGTCTGCCCCCAGGAATACAAGTTCAGGCTGAAGCTAGCAGCGATCAAGATGGTAACCAATCTTCAGCAGCGTCTAAGAGGAGGGCTCACTTCCACAGGGCGCAGTCCGTCACCAGTGCTGTAGAGTACGAATACTTCGACGTCGGCATTGGACAGGTACCACACATGGACACAGACATAAATAAACATGTTATTAGGAGTACCGCTAGATAAAAGCTTTGATGCATCACCTTCTTGCTTCTCTCCTCTACCTGCTTGCCTGGACAGACCAATGGAGGCATAGCCAAGGGACAGGTGTGTCTCACAGGGCGTTCCCATGCTCTCAGGCTTTGTCCTGTTATGATCTCACTGTGCCTGGGGGTTCTTTTCACCTACATCTGGTCAGGGAAAAATTAAAGGAACTTGAATTATAGTGGATTTTCTATGAGCAATAGGGTTTCCATGGCTAAGTCACATTGTTTCCTGACTGAAGCTACCATTTCGTCCCAGTCGTTCAACACCACACTCTGTGTCTGTGCTCATCCAGTCCTGCATGAATGCTCAGCTCCGTGGTCTCCACTTTCCTACTATCATACTGCCCGGTTGTTGTCTTCAAGTCATGAATGGTAGTTTGAATGTTGAATGTAAGCACCATACTGCACCCAAGTGAGTGTTTCATCTGTCTGAATGGCTGTGTTGTAAAACAAAAAAAACATTTAATAACATATTTTTCCAACCCAATCATCTCTTCATCACAGGTATCCATCAACTACCCACAGCTGGCTTTCCATCCGCAAACATTTTTTGCTTTTGGCTCTCCGATTGGGATGTTCCTGACTGTGCGTGGGCTGAAACACATTGATCCCAACTACAGCTTCCCAACCTGCAAGAGCTTTTACAACATCTACCACCCGGTGAGTAATCACATAGTAACTGCATCTGCCCTTTCAGGCACACTCACTCCCACAAAGGGAAAACACCTGGTTTGAAATGCCACAACCTTTGATTGACATTTTTCATGCACGCTTCAATCTAAAAGGCATTAAGGAAGCATCTCTTAAGGTTTAAAACATGTTTTGCATTGTGGAGCGATGATAACATATTTAACTAAAATATTAAGATCAACATAATTAGGAGAATACTACTTAGTTTCCCCATTATTTAATAATTAGACAATTAAGAAAAACAGACTTTTTGCATTGTAAACATGCACAAAACTTGCATTAAAAAGTAAAAAACAACCAATATTGAAATGATCTCATAGTGGGTCAACTATTAAAAGTGACATGAATCTGTTCCCCTTCATGGCTGTGTAGTTTGACCCTGTAGCCTATCGGATAGAGCCCATGATTGTGACAGAGGTGGATCTGGAGCCCATGCTGATCCCTCACCATAAAGGCCGCAAGAGAATGCACCTGGGTGAGGCTGTCTGTTCCTCTTGTCTTTGTGGAGCAATATTGGGGTGTGGTCTTTTGTTTAATGATGAACTCTGTTTCTGTTTGTCTCATAGAACTGAAGGACAGCTTGACCCGTATGAGCATGGATTTGAAGAACAATGTTTTTGGATCATTACGGACGGCGTGGCAGTCCTTCGCCAGGATCCCCGTGGCTGCACTTCCCCCGGTGGACGAAGCAAACACTACAATAGAGAACGACCTCCAAGAGTCACAGGGTAGAAACATTACTTTTGATTTGACTGTGTGATTTCTGTGTGTGCACAAGAGTTTCTCTGACCCAGTCTCCTTATACTCTCTCACCCCTCTCTGCATGTTGCCACCCTTTTCCACCCTACCTTTTATTGCTCTATCTGGTGGTTGGTCTGGATCCATCATCCTTTACCACTTTACCGTGAACCTCAGCCTCAGCGGCAGTCTCTGCTTCTGCTAAGAGGGAAGAGCAAAGGGCTGATTTTTGGACTAAAGTACTGGAATGGCCCAGGGCCCTTCATAAGCATAACTTACAAGGTAAGCCAGGTTAGTCACTTGGCTACAGTAAGAGAAAACCAGTAAAGCCAGTTTACTTCTTCTAGTTTTGCAATCTTGTTCTCTCTGCAAACGGTCAACCTGCAAGCCTATATAAACTTGTCATTCATTCTATATTTTCCGTTTAACTTCCCTGGCTTCAATCTGGAAAAAATAACATGCACAAAAGAGGCAAAACTGTATACTTCTACGACCTGTTTGCATGCTGTAGTACCTGCAGAATGTCATAAACTTGGAAGGACTCCATAACTGCATTTTACTTTGGCACCTCAGCTCTCTCACAAAGAGCAAATGTTATATAATGTACTGTGTTGCATTTTTCCCCACAGGCTCTCACTAACCTCCGTTTCTGACTGCACTACTGCTGATACTAATATTGTCTTCAACTAAAAATTCGATAGTCTGAGATCCCCCTGAGGCCTTTCCCCCCCAACCTCTCCTGCTGTCATTTCTGTTCAGTTGATTAATGACTGATACATTTATCAACGTCATTGCCAGCATCAGATGCTACTTGAGTAATCTTCCCATGGCGTAATCTTGAAAGTGCTGAACAATCAGGACGAGTTATATTGTAGTGATTACAGTTATGTTTTCAGCAAAAGTATTTCATACAGTAAGTAAAGTCAATATTGAGTCACCTACATTCGCTACATGCAAATACACGTCCTGCCCTTTTTTGTAATTACTCAGCCTGTCAATTAAATAGGTCACGGGGGAAACAGCTGCCACTAGAAAAACAGAGAATTAAACACAATCCCTTTTTTAAAAAACGTGGAACTCTCTTATATTTAAGAGGATTAAGCACTTTCTGACAACCCCTACAACCTTCACCTGTTCTATCTGTTGTGTAGGTTTGCAAGATCTGAAATAATTAGTACTAAAAGGTCATTTGAGGGTAAGATTTTCATTCTTTTAATGTCTGAATAACAAGCTAGTAAATGCTGTAAACATCCAGTAGTCAAGAAGTCATTTTCAGTGCATTGGGTGTTTGTGGAGATACATCTTAATACAACAATGCATTCTTAACATTGCAACAAATACACCATTCACTCATCGCAAAACTCACCCACCCAACTGAAATTGACTTGGCACCATACCTGCCCCTATGGCTGAGTGAACACTCAGCCATGTAAAGGGCAACATTTTGAAACCTCTATGATTCATTCTAGACATCCATTCAGTACTAATCTAAGCATCATTATACCAAAACGTTCAACTGCTAAAAAACGTGTGAGTACTCGCAGCGAAGTAGATGTCATATATTCTGGTTTCTTGCCCAAATTGTAATTGCTTTCTAACAGGAGGTCTGTGAAGTTTTGCAGGGCTTTGAGAGTCTCCCATTTTTGGCTTAGGTAGCTTTAAAGTGCTCGAATTACGCATTTAATAAGCTGTAAAAACCTTTCTCTTGTAGATTACTGTGAGTTTGATTCACCTGCAAACAAGCTGTCAATTTCCTGATGCGGTGTAGTTTGACCAAGAAGCTGCTGCTGGCTTTTGTCTTTGTTTTTTGTTGTCTGTTTCCTGCCTTTACAGCCACATTATGTCTCTGCAGGAACGTGTGAGGAGGCAGAGTCCTCAGAATCAGCAGAGCAGAGGGAGCAGCCTGAGATTAAAGTGGGGATGTTGAACGAAGGAAGAAGGATCGACTACGTACTTCAAGAAAAACCCATTGAGAGCTTCAACGAGTACCTGTTTGCTATCCAGTCTCATCTGTGTTACTGGTGAGTCCTGCATACCTGTGGAGGGTGTTCTTTTGTTTTTCGAAAATGTCTCAAATAAATGACATTTCCCCTCTCTGTCTGTCAGGGAATCGGAGGACACTGCTCTCCTGCTGCTAAAGGAGATCTACGACAAGCTAGGTGTGGCCTTTGAACAGCCACAACAGTAATAAAGTGTTATGAATGTAGACTTGATTTTAACATGACAGCTACCTGAAAGGGAGAAAGTGAAGATGTGCTGCACAATCCTCTCCCAGAATGCCTTATTGTCCGGGTGTCACCAGACTGCCCCGCCCTCCCTGACAATAGAGACTGTTTAACTGCAGTCAGGCAGGGTGTCAGTCAACCTTCATTTGAGGTAGCCGGTGCTTCTTGGTGCTGCAGGACTAATGTCTGATAGTTGTTTTAAATCCACCTGAACATCTCTGTCATTTTCATTTCATTTCAAACCTTTATTTAACTAGATTGGTCCCTTGAGATCATAGATCTCTTTTTCAAGGGAGACCTGCAGCAAATAGGTTCCCCATGAAACATAAAACAACATGAAACAATAGAGGACATCATACAACATATTTACAAGCTACATTTACATACTTATCAACATTTACAAATACCCATAGTTTCAATGAGCATTTCATTTACACTTGCTCCTGATCGCACTTTTCTGTCTACACCAAGTCATTTTTTTTTTTTACATACCTTTGCACTTTTATTTTCCAACAGTTGTTGACATATCATGAGTACAGCTGCAGCTGAAAAGTAAAATAATCATCATGATAACCAGAAGATACACACAGTTGGAAAAACAGAATATCAATGTATTTGACGACAAAAAAGATCCTTAAAAATCACCCGAATACAGTTTATGTATAAATGAAATAGATTTCAACATTTTAACATTTCAACATTTCAAATGTTTATTTATTTCCCAGCCCTATGTACCTCCTTGAAAAGTCAGGAATGTAGAACTATGAATATAATTTAAGTGGCAATTGACACTTTTTTTGCTTTAACTGATTATTATAAAATGTATATTGATTGCACCATGTAGAATGTATAGTTTTACTATCGGCATTTACATTGGTTTCCTATTAGCCTCGTTTTAACTATGCAAAACTGACTGATTAGATCTCCTGGGCAAATGAAGGCTTGATTTACAGCAAGACGTTCAAAACAAAATCCAGTGCGTCCTGTGAAGTATTGCCCACTCTTTCGGAGTGTAACTTTAAAAAGTCACTGAAAGTTGCCAGATGACATCCTACACTCATTTGCATATTGGTCAAATCATGTGGAATAATTTGCATGTTTTAGGAGCCGCCTGCACAAAGTGCAAGAGGAGAGTGAGCAATCGTATGTTGTTGGCAGAATAACTGTTGTTATTAGTAGGCTCTATAAAGGGAATCAAAATCTAGTTGTCTCTTTATTGAATAAGTGCAATCAACCTTTAAAACACAGAACAGCTGCACAAACAATAATTCAACTTTTAAACAATGAGGGGGGAGTTGAAAAGTTATCTATTTGCCACTTTAAGTGTTTAAACTTGAACAAGGAAGCTCTCCTTTAGCCTAACATTCGACCTTACCTTTATAAATAAGCAGGTCTGCTGGTTTTATTTTGATGACAATAAAATTGTTTAGGTTTTGAAGGGAAATGAATATTGATAATGTGTCTACTGGCAGCTATATTTCCTTTCTGTCAAAATTAAGGCCCAATTTAAACCCAATGTTATGCCTACATTAATTTGTGCAATATTACAACAATGTCGATGGTACTTATTTTTCATTTCACAGACGTGGTCCACAATTCTACTTCAACTTGTCTTCTAATAATATGTTTACTTGCAATGTGTATTTTATTTTTTCAGTTTATTTTTGTTTGTTTTTAGTTTAAACCAATCTATATTCTAAAATAAGGGATCCTGATTAATATTTGTGTCAGAAATGATCAAGGGATGCAGGGGAATTAAAAGGACAAGCTTGTGTGTATGTATGTTCAGAAAGGCCAGCTCTATCTCTCTGAGGTCTGTGCCATTCATTCCTTCTCTTCTTCCACTTTAAACCCTAAATGTTTCTTTCTGTGTCTCCCAATAACAGTGTATTCTTTATCCCAAAACATGGTTAATTCCAATACAAAGTGGCATCTCAGATAAATAATTCTAACTTTTGTATTATCTAAGGGCCAAATGATACATGTTTCTTTCAACTGTTCCTTTGTATGAAGGAATTGTAAAGTCATATTCTGTACTGCATGCACTTTTCATAATGTAACAGAAGGGTTTCTCAACAGTTTCTGATCCTGACCTTAATCTAAGGAATAGAAATACTTTTCACAAACCCAGCAATAAAGAGAGTTGTCACTTTTAATTTGATTTAAAGAGTATGTTACATTGATTATGTAGAAATTATGTTGCAATGCATATCAATTTATGCAAACAAATATCAATGTGTCAGTGTTATCACAAATCTGCACCATCAAGCAACATGGGGTCCAGACTGCAACGTTGAGAAACAGGGTGTTTTAGTGTTTAAACTTTACAAAACAACCCATACGATATGCACTGTCAGGGCAACACAGCCCAAGCACTAGAGCTCCGCACAAAACATGAAGAAACCTCACAAGGTTGTTCATTTTCTTCCAATAAGTTGCACTGAATATGAATGATCATTGAACATCACCCGTGTCTCTGTCATGTCCGTTTCAGTAAAACAGGACTTAAAGTTACTAACTCCTCTTCCTTGACATGAGTACTGTTTTTGCACTTGATACTTAAATGTTTAAATAACCAAAAAACAAATGTTCTCATTTCTAAATACACACCCTATGATAACATGTTGTGTGTGCCATAATAAAACTTTACAAGTCTCTTGTTGTTCTTTAGAATTCATACAAGCATGCTTTCATTGGATTGGAAACACAAAAACATTCAGCCTTTTTTTAGTATATGTATCATATTTACCCCGGACATCAATGAATGCCCAAACTCACTTACATCATTTCCACATATTGAGCTAGTTTGAAATGATTAATGCACATATATAATACAGCTAAATTCTGTCATAAGCAAACAGGGAGATGGTTCCACATTAAGAACTTTATTTATTGATCATTGTGACTGGCATGTAAAATACATTTTCATACAATAAACGCTTCCAGTGTTGTGTTCAAAAGTGAATTCAACTTGTTTGTAAATACATTTGGAAATTATTCTGTTCACGGTTAAATGTTATATAAGACTCTAAAGTGGTGTCTGTGGCTCAGTGGGATAGTGCGTTAATCTTTGGATCAGTGGAGCACTGGTTCCATCCCCACTGCAGTCAGCAGCATGTCGTTGTGTCCCTGGGCTGGACACTTCACCCCAAATAGCTCCTCTGGGGATTGCTCACAGTATTGAATGTATGTAAGTCACTTTGCACACCGGGACAGAGTTGCACTCTGAATCTCGTTATACTCTGTGTACAATGACAATAAAAGGCTTTAACTTAACTTAACTTTAACTTTGGATAAAAGTGTCTAAAAGTGAATTTACCTGATCTTGTTTGAAACACTGAATTGTAAAGGGTATAGCCTTATCCATTACCAAACAACATGTGCCAGTTTTAGTTTTTTTGTGTAATGTAATTGTAAATCCCTAAAAAGGTTTCCCTTTGGCTGAAATCTTACAACAATTTTATTATTTTCGTTATTTGTTTGATTGTTAATTTTATTCCACCAAATTTAGAAAATTACATTGCATCAACTCGAATACACCTGTGGGAATATCCTTCAAGTACACTTAAACAACTTATTTATTTTTTGAGCTGCGAAATGTGGCTCGTAGGACTTTGTCATAACTTTAAATATTTTTCTTTCATAAAACCAAGTTGTTTGACAACCGTTACTGTGGCAAGCTACTGGAGCATGCGCAGTCGTGAGGAAAACACAGCATCACTTTCAGCGGTAGAATTGACTAGCAACCCCTGGACAACAACAATCAAAGGCAAGTTAAACTCTTATTGTTGTTGTTGTTTGCGTATGTTTTATCTATATTCCTCAGAGCTATTGGCTACATTGTGTCCTCATTCATGTTCTTGTATCTGCCTAGTCTATTATTTATTCGTACTTTGCAGCGCTAATAACTTTAAGCTGTCAAGTAGTCAGAGCAATGCTCAAGTCTCTGTAAGTATCTGGCTTACAACAAGAGAAACGTATTCATACCATAACTTATAAGTCATAGTAAATACCACGCTACATGTGCTTAATGCTCATGTGTGCGTTGTTTGTGAATGCTTTGTGATACAAGCCATTCAAGAGGTAGGACCTCCATAGTTAGCCTCATGTGATTTATCTCAGTGGGAGAAAGTTATGCACTAAACTTAAGCCTCTCAGTTATTCTCAAAGGCGGGCCTGTCCTATGCAACACTGCCTGAGCCAGCAGAGGGGTTTTAGCCATTTATATTTGATCCTAACAGACTATCAGGATGGGACAAGCTGTAATCAGGAGGTAGGATTTCCTACTTTAATCATTAAGAGGCTCTGTTGTGTTGACACTCAATGTTGGTTAAGACATGTCTCACTAGCCTTATCCATTTTTACATTAAGCTACTTTAGTTTTTCAGAAACACTGGAAGCATTTAGCTAACTCTAACCCTAATTTTGAATTGTGTACATTTTGTAAGGCGGTAAGAGGTCAAATTGGACTGATTGTCTTATTAAATTAATGCAAATAAGCCTAGCTTTGAGTACTGAGCGTGCGTGTGTGTGTGTGTATTGTCATGCTAAAACTCAAGGGGGCTACAGTGGTGGGTTTGGGGTCACAGCAGGTAGCGGGAATGTGGCACAACAAGTGGGGCTGTGTTTTATGCCGCCTTCTCTCCCTCCATCATCTTCCATCCCTCCCCCTGGATCTGAGATCTGGTATTCAGCGGACTAACAATAGAAGATACTCTTTCACGCTTGAACAATACCCTTAGCACCACACACACACACACACACACACACACACACACACACACACACACACACACACACACACACACACACACACACACACACTCCAATCTCCATCCACCCCCCTCCAACTCCTTGGACTAGTGTGCTTTAAAACAACCCCCGTCACACACACCACCTCTCTGCCTTTCTCCTTCTATAGGCTACTGCCTGGCAAGGGAATGCAATCTGACTTTGGTGTGTGTGTGTGAGTGAGAGAGACAGAGTGATAAATCGGAGGGTGTGGAGAAGCAGAGCGAGGAGGCGGGACTGTAAGCATTCATGTGAGATCAGTGGTACTCCTGAGTGTTTTGACTGTACAGCATCAGCAGAGAAGGGACACGGAGAGGAGGAGAGGCTAAATAATGAAAAGTCAGTCATGAGAAGCAGCGCTTTGTGCGGCTCTGACGCTGAGCCAGGCTGTCCAGAGGAGAGGCAGAGGTGAACCTTTGGAGGACAATAAAGGGACGTACGCAACATCTTTGGGAAACCTGAAACAAACACTCGGCGGCTGTTGCCATGGGGGGATCCTTCAGCCAAAACAGGAAGGGCTCCTTCAGCTCTACTCGGAAGAAGAGCAGCATGTAAGATGTGATGCTTCATTGTTTGTGTGGACAAGCTTTTAGTGAGAACAGGAAACTTGTGGGTGAGTGGGTGCACTTGACAGTAGATCAATAGCGCCCTTTGCTACTTGTGTTGTCTTGTGTGTATGGACTATAGACTGTATATATAATGTATGAACTAAGCACTTTTGTATCGGATAGTGGAAGAGGAAGTGTGAGATAAGGGGTTGAAGGGCAGTGCTGACACCTTGATGCTTCCTTCAGAGCCAGGGCTTTCCCTGCTGGAATGAAAGCAAAGCATCCCATCAGACTGCTCTGCAAACAACCTGTCCTGTCGTGCTATTTTGGTATTCAAATATAAGGAAATAGAGGGAAGAGGCAGAGTGCTACAGCTGGTGACATTATGAGAGAGGCTAATGTAATGAGCATCATGCTCCTAGAATTAAAGTCTAAGTGTTATTGGTTCTAATATTTTAGCAGCAGCTTTTGTAGTTACAACTGTAGAAGAGATAATGCTGCCTCTGGTTATTAATTTTGCAGCTGTGACCTTAATTCTAAAGTGGTGTTTTAATCATACAAGCGGGTCTTTGGGTCTGGGCAGACATAGTAGGACACATCGTCCTGTTCTGATCACGCAGTGTTAGGAATCCTGAAAGTGCCGTATGACCTGCAGCTGACTGGAGCCTTTCATCTTGTCAAAATGAAGGAAAATGTAGATGCTGTTGCTGAGGCATTTGTCAGAGCTTAAAAGCATGCTCCCTCTTCTTTTCCTTTAATCTTTTGTAACAGAGAGCGAGTCCTTTCACTTGTCCCCTGATCCCAGTGATGCTTTATATTGTTTAAGCTTCTCTATGCCCCTTGTAGCGGAACACTTTCCCTCAACAGATGTAAATGCACAGGCATATTTCAGCCAGCCTATTCCTAAATGTCGCTGTGTTCACTCAGTGATTCAAGTCATGAGAACAGCGGTTGTAAACATCATCAGCAGCAGTAGTGCTGCCGGACTGAAGCAGATGTTTTTGTTTTGGATGAGGCAGGAAATCATGACCAGTGACAGTAAGGCAAGGATGTCAGAGATCAGAAGACTGAGACGACGAGGCCATGTCAAAGAAATTATCATTGTTATTTTTGTGTTTATTTTAAATCTCCCTGATCACAAAAGCATACTGTGGTCTTCTGGATCTGTGTTATTGTTAGGGCAGATGGGGGTTGGGGTCCTCCCTGTGGGAAAACTGGGTAGATAACCAGTGCCGTGGGATCTCAGTTTTCTCATTTGAGTTGCCTTTAATCATCCGTTTTATGGCCTAACTGGAGCAGTCTTTGATGTACAGTAGACTTCCTGTTCTCCAAAACCCAGACAGTCCCTCATTTGGGAAGAGCTGACTTTCATTTGGAGCTCATTTAATGCTGCAATGTTATGAATTCAGGCCAGTGTAGGCCGAACAACTGGGACTGAGAGACAAAGACATTGTGAATACATGAATACGCAAAATGTGAAGATGTACACTTTAATTGTGCATAAGCCTATGCTGACTAGGCGTGCAAGAATTAAAGTGTAACTCAGGGCAGAACTATGTCGAAGTTAATAAATAAAAACCCAGTTGAACAAAATGGTTAGATTATGTAGATATATCACTGCAATGAAACAAAAAATATATGGCATTTTAAAGGGACAAAACACTGTACAGACAACACTATGTAATTGCACACCAATGAAAACATTGTTCTTATTATTAGCTACCATATAACCCCCTTAAATATTATACGGTTTAAAGGGATTTCCATGTAGTTTAAATGGATTTGCCAGGCAAAGAAAGGGAATGGAAACATTATCAAGTAAAACAATAAGGGTTGTGTTACCTCCCGGCTCTGTGCGTGCATGTGTGTACAATGTTCATGCACTTCTGTCTGGTAATTGTGCGCTCTTGTGTCTCTGTTGTAGTCAGGAACAATAGCTCAGCTGGTGCCTGTACGTGACTCTTCTGGGGTAAACCCCCCCCTCTCTCTTTTTCCCTTGTTCCTTCATTCTTTCCCCCCTTTTGTCTTATCATGCCTCCATCAGTTTAGATATTCCTGTGTAATGTAGCACGGTGAGTGCATCGACCTCATTCAGTCTGACTCTGTTCACCCCATGCTAGTTTTATGCTCTGATTGCAGCTAATTGGATGTTCCTTATTAAAAATGCTAAGATATCAAGAATGTAAAAACAGTAGAACATTAGATACTTTAAAGCCTCTCTGTTTACATTGTATCCCACTGAGATTTTTGTATCCTGCTAAATTCTGAATTAAATTATAAAAGATAACAAAATATGAAAAGGAAACATTATCAGCA